ACATATATATGTAGAAACCAAGAACGGCCACTGTAGCGGGGATCCACAATTTATTCCTAGATATAGTTCGCGCTAGTGTACTACAAAGTCCGCTTGGTACCTCGGTCGTTTCTTTAATGTGTGCCTTCTTTTCTGAAGCTACTAATATCCCCTCTGTCCCAACCTTCGCATCTGGTTTTCCGGAATCTGCACCCGTCGCAGTTGTTTTCACTGGCCCTCCACTAGGACTAACGGGACCTTTATTCTGTTCTGGTGTTTGCTTATCCGTTGCACCCGTCACTTCAGTTCCTTTTGGCTTCTTTTCTTTCTTTTCACTTTGTACATTATGCTGTGGTGACTGCGGTAACGATCCTTCTGATGCAACATTCGTTGTTGGTTTACCAGACTTTCCTGGCTTTTGCCCGGATGCGAGTTTTTTATCATGACCCTTACCAGGAGTGAGCAGTAATGTATTATTTGGTTGTGGTGGTGCTTGCATATCCAATTCAACCGTTAGTAATCTACGCATCCTGATACCGAGAGTGTCATTTTGCTTCGCCGTATGGTTCCATGATGTGCCGGATTCATTCGCCTAACATAGGGGAAAATACCGAGGCATGTATTTGAGGGCGTTATGCAGTGCACATGTATTTAGATAAAATGAAACGAAGGCAGAATTGTTTTCAATTGTTAGGAGCACGAATAACATCAGAATCATAAATGGGAATGCCCATTCTACGGAAGCGTTAATTATTGTGTCGTACGTTTTCGGGATGTTGCCAGGAGTACAAAATGAAGCTGAATATGGAAAGTTGCACAGGGAACATCATTTTGTCCTTTGCTTGTTTTTTTTTTCAGAATAAAGGGGGTTACTAAGAACTATATTTCTTTCTACTTATAAAGAAGGGGATTATATGATTATTGTTATATGTATTTGTGTTGGCACTACGTGGCTGTTCTTTTTTTTTTTTTTGTATTCCAGAATTATATGATTATTTCATTCTTCTTTATATATACACCTATGATTTTTTCTTATTTTTTTGTTTCCTTTTTTACGATACGCAAAGATGATA